GCATATTCCTGCTTGTCTAACCAAAATTTGCTGAATGTTGTACACAGAGTGTTTTCAGAATACCCATTGCCAGTGTTTCTGGTGTGGTTTCCACAACAGTCTGTGAAAACTAATCTGTATCCAGTGACCCTGTAAAAAACACTCTCAGGCCCAGCACCAGTCAGTGTAAGAAAATGTCTCTCTGAGCATCAGACTTTGCTCCTAAATAGTGGGAACAATTATGCAATAACACTTTAGCAAAGACCATATAGGGAGCTGTAGCTCGCTGCATACTTCCTCGAGCAGAGTGGCTAGAATAGCGATATGGGAGCACAGCCTGCAGGGCAGAACCCGTGTGGTCCATTGCAGTGCAACTAGTGATGCTTTGGCAGGATCTTCACTGCTGTCAGCACGGCTGTACCTGCTCCCTCTATGAATGCATTTGAAGCTTTCTGTGCAACCTGCTATGTTTTCAGGGATATACCTTACCTTACTTGCTGTTTTGTATTGCTTCTGGCTCTTGCATTGCACTTCTGTTCTCACAGTATGCTTAAAGCTAAGCATCTCTCCCTGTCATTCATCGGCAGCAGTTCTGTAGCACGTACCTGTCTATGGTGCTGACACGGAGCTCTGTAAGGCCAGGGTTTCTCGTGAAGATGTTGCTGAGGCCCCCGTATTTCATGGCTTCATGGACCATGCTCCAGAAAATGCCAGTCACAAGGAGCAGGAGTCCCAGAGCTAACAGGCAGTAAGCAACCAACGTGCTATTCCTGCATCTGCATGCAGAGGAACTTGTGTAGATGCAAAGGATTCCCAGGCAAATGATGGAGAAACTGAGTAAGAGCACAGAAAGACGAATGAGGGAAAAAACAACTTTTTTCATGTTTCCCAGCAGACACAGCACAAAGCTCCCACCCGTTGTTTGTTTACTGTGTGCCTGAGCTGTGCTTCTCATCTTTGTGCAGCACTATTTTATACACATCAGCACTGACTGGCCTTTGGACAATTAAGAGAAACAGACAATTTTAAGATACTCATTAACTCTGTAAGATACTCATAATCTCTTTCGAGATTAATTTGTAATCTGAAACCAGCAAACAAACTTCCTGCACCAGTTTTTTGCCACTGCTACCTCTGGAGTTCTTACTGAACTGCTGCATTCATCACAATGAACAGTGGCCACACACTTTGCTGGTTGGTGAATGACGACTTCTGTATCTATCTGTCTTAAAAAGAACAACAACAACAAAAAAGGAACACAAAACACTGTTGAGATGCAGATAAAGGGCAGAGAGACTGCCAGGTAACCTATGGCTGACATGATAAACCATGCGAAGTCAGTCAAGTGCTTCCCACCTTTCAGTACCTTCTCAAAATCCCATCAGGCCATATTTCCTGTCACCTAGTTGTATTTTCTGATATGGGTATTCAGAACTCATGTTCACATATAGTTTCCTGAAACTCATGCTCGCATGTGGTTTCCTTACTGTATGCTCTCAGGTCAGTTATTCTGACAAGGAAATAACCTTCCCACTGATTAAACTCTTGTCAGCATCTGGTATGAGGACATCACTCATTAATATCTCGGGATTGTTGTGCACAACAGCAATTCACAGAAGTACTTGAATACACCAAATCTCCAGAATGCCTTGGATGCAGAAATCTGCCATTTACATTCCACTGAGGTGCCTTGAGCCTCTGATATCTTTCCATATATCTTCATATGATGTAACCTGGAAAGCAGGTTTCAACTACCTGCTTATTTCTATGGTGCTCTGCCAGGCGGGTCTGCCCTTACCACCATGTGGGCAAAGGCCCACAGCATTCCATTCAGGCAGGAGGTGGGTTAGTTCAAAGTATTCTTGGGCTTGCCACCGTCTTTGCTTGCAAACACCAGAAAGACAGATGTCCACAGTTCACATAGAGGCTGCTCCACATTTCAGTGTGTGTGGATACATGGACAACACTGTTTACAAGTCTTTATCTAAGGGATTCAGCACTGTGTGCTAGTTGCTAAGCTATTTCCTATGGAATAATAATAATAATAATAATAATAATAGTAGTAGTAGTAGCAATAGTAGTAGTAGTAGTAGTAGTAGTAGTAATAGTAATAATAATAATAAAGTTTACTCAGAAATTAGAAATAAGAATGTACCTTAACCTAATGTCAAGTTAATTTTCCAGTCCTCATTATAAGAAAAACTCCTCCACATGTACCTCTGAATTGCATATATTTTGTAATGAGCAGTAATATTTTGCCTTTGTGATACTGTAGTTTACAGTCAAGCTTGCTCAGTTTGAAATCTCCTGTACCCAATTTCCATCCTAGACAAAGGAGAGGAGTGTTGTGTATTGGTGCTTTTATTATAGAATCACAGAATTATTTGAGTTGGAAGGGACCTTTAAAGGCTATCTAGTGCAACTCCCCTGCAGTGAGCAGGGACACCTACAGCTAGACCAGGTTGCTCAGAGCATTATCCAACCTGATCTTGAATGCCTCCAGGGATGGGGCATCCACCACCTCTCTGTGCAACCTGGGCCAGTGCCTCACTACTCGTATAAAAAACGCCTTCCTTATATCCAGCCTACAGCACCGGTCCCACTCACGCTGACTCACGCTGGATGCAACTCATCTCTGATCTTCATCCAGATGCTGAGCCACTGAGCACCACGCTCTGGGTACAATTTCACAACTAGCTTAATGGATTTTAGTTCCCATGAGGGGGAACTGTTTATAAATATCTAAGTGTGGAAGTCAAGGTGATGAAGGCAGATTGTTTTTGGTGGCTAATGGAAAATTCCACACAAACACAAACAAGTACTTGTCAGTGAAATGCAGCACTGGAATAGGCTGCCCAGAGGGCAGTGGTGTTTCCTTCCCTTGATGTATTCAAGACCTGACTGCATGCTTTTTTGTGCAACCTGCTGTAGAGAACTGTCTTTAGCAGGGAGTTAGTTGGACTCAGTGGTTTCCAGAGGTCCCTTCAAATCTACAATTCCCTGATACTCAGTGAAGTCTCAGTTTGCCTGCACATTCATGGTGATAACCACAAGCCCTGAGCTTCTGAGCTTGCACAGCATTTGGAAGCTGTGTTCCAGCAACTCTGAAGGATGAACTAACAAACCTGATCCTAAAACTGTCTCAAACCCAGAATGGACATGGAGTCACAGAATCACAGAAAGGCTTGGGTTGGAAGAGACCTCAAGGATTCATCCAGTTCCAATTTCCTACCATGGACTGGGCTGCCACCCTCCAGCTCAAGCAGCCCAGGGCCCCATCCAACCTGGCCTTCAGTGCCTCCAGGAACAGGGCACCCACAACCTCTTTGGGCAGCCTGTGCCACTCCACTGTCTCAGTGACAAATTTCCCATAATGTCTAACCGAAATCTCCTCTTTTAGTTTAAAACCATTCTGCCTTGTCTTGTCAACACATTTAGACAGTGTGGATGGTAAACCTATATCTATATATGTAGATACATTCTGTACCTACACAGACATCAATAAAAGAGGGAGGTGTTCCTTCAGAGGTAACACCTGCTGCACTGTGTGCTAAGCTGCTCTCTGAGCAGCAAAATTGTTTCTTCAGTCCTACCACGCTCAAGAGTGTCAGAGAATTGCAGTTTGCAAACCTGACACCCCACGGGGATGGAGAAGCCAACAGAGCTCCCAAACACTCTGTCTCCATTGTGGCTCCGAGCATCTGCCTGAGATGGTGTGCAGCCAAAGTTACCACACAGGAGCTCCTCTGCAGCAGTGCAAGTTACTTCACACTCGGGCAACAGATTCTTCTCTGAGAAGAGAAGGTCCCAGTGCAAGAAGGTAGAAAGATCACCAAACTCCGTCATCTTTGGGATGGTGCATCTTATACTGAGCAGTGAAATAGAAGCCATTGCTCTTACGATCAGTGTCGCTACTGGACCCAGGGAAGGAACCATCCTATGGCAATTTCTAGAAATCTGGCCATTATGTTGAATGTCTGAAAGGCTGAAAAATTAAAATGTTACATAATTTCAGTCTCAGCTGATGTTGTTTACTCTCTGCGTGGCCTGATCCGCAGTGATGTTAGAGATTAGGATCCTAGACACCTGTCAGCTACAAAAATGAGACTAAGCTATTTGCCATTGCAGGGTTAGTTAAACAATCTAATTGTTTAATTAAACACTTCTATTTAATTAGTTAAACATCTTAGGCAGGCAAATGAACACCTTGAAAATGACCTATGAGTCATGATGCTTTGCTGTGCTCCACTGGTGAAACTATTGAGGTAATGCTTCTTCCTAATGGAGGCAGAAAGAGGGCTCAGCATTACTGCAGCTCTTCATTTGTATTCTTCTTGAGGAGAATGCTGTAAAACAGCAGATCCCTGCCCTGGCAGATAGCGATTGCTGAGTCACTTGGTAAAGATCAGGAACTGGCCCTAAAGGATTTGCAGTCCTCCTGGTGGGAAGGGGCACAGGCAGACAGGGTGGAGCAAGTACTTTTGGTATGCTGCCATGTTTGTCATACAGTTTGCAAGGTTTCATCTCACTTCCTACTCCTTGTCTTTATGGAGATTTAAACCTTTCTGGAGATTTTGAGTAGAACAGGCTCCAAGCAGATTTTCCTCTGAATCTCTTTTTAGTGGTACTTCTCTCGTAGAGAAGAAGGGGAATTGTATCTGCTGCCTTTGGGGAAGATGCGGCAGGAGGTTGCTGAAAGCTGGCCATGTCTGTGAGGGCAGCAGGAGCCAAGGGTGTGCAGGGGGACTGGCAGTGGGCTGCAGGCACCCACAGGAACATGAGACTGGGTGGGTTCACAATGGCCCTGCCCAGTGTACAGACCCCAGCCCATCGTTCTGCTGGCACGTGGCTGTCTCTGAGTGCCCCTCAGCTCTGTGCTTCCTTGTTCCGTACAGTCAGGTACATTCTTCCTGCAGTTCATTTTGCCCTGTAAACTAGCAGATCCAGCTGAACTACAATGGCATTTTTTCCCATATATTTTGCACTTTTTTCTTACCTGCTAAACATATATAACTTTACAAAATCATTCTCCTTACTTCTGTGGGCTTTTGATGCTTTCAGACTGTGCAACTGGAAAAACAGTTGTTCAGGACTGCTAATGAAGTTCACATCATTGCCTGTAATTCGTATCTTCTATGATGCTCCAGCTTCGGCTTCCACATAACACTCTCTGAGACAACTGTGTTGATGAACAGGCAATGAGTGGGTAATGTGGTTTGTCCTTCATGATACAATAGGAAGGAGGACCCTACAGAGGAAGGAGGGACGGGACTCTTGGCTGGGGAATCTGCAGGCCTGACAGCTGTTCTGCTTTTGTGGGTCTTTCCATTTTTGCAAGCTGTAGGAGTCTGCTATTTTCAGCAAAGTTAAGTCAATGTCCTCAAGCTGTTGGTATCTCGAGCTGAACACAGCGTTTCATTTTGAATCACTTCTTTGAATGACTCTTATAGAGTCAGCAAAGATGAAGGATGAGAGGCCTGAAATAGCCCCACAGTATAATTTTCAGGGTTCTGTTATTTTTCTTATTTTCTGTTGCTTTATTCAGTGTTCGTTCTTGGCCTTTTTCAACTCCCCTGTTGCGTGTCAGCTAGGCTGTTTTATTGGCAATGAGTACCACAGGCTGCATCAGACTGGATGAGCAGATTTCCTTTTTCTCTTACAAAACAGGAAGAAACTTGCTGCTAATGAGGGTCAGGTGGGAAAAGGGAGTAGCTAGCACAGTGTAAAGGTTGTGGAGCAGAACTGGCTGAAGACCAAGGTCAAAAGGTAGCAGTCCAGATGCACAAAAAGCAATTCTTAGGAAGTCCAACTAGAGATGAACTTAATGGATGTTCCACCGTACAATTTGACCACTGTGACTGTTTTGCAATCGGCATTTAACTTGGAAAGGTCATTGCTCACCATGTATCCTGTTGAAACCTGTAATGCTGTTTTCACACAAACTGGTTTTTAGAA